TCAAAAAGCCTCCTCAAAATTAAATGACAGAGGTTCTTCAGTAGGACAGTATTTCTTTACAAACCACTGCAAACTCAGCTCTGACTCCATTGTGTGATTCTAAATCCTTGCAACCGTTTCTAAAGATTTCATTGGTCATGTCAATCACAGCCTACACAACTCTAAAAACAAATACTAAACCCTAAACCTAATCTAAATTCTGTGAATCTCCTATTTGACTAAATCATAATGCCATTGGCTAAGATCTCCTGTTCTCCAAAATATAACACATTAAAATGGGTCGTGTAGACTATATGTATGCGCTACAATGATGATGTATTTTTGTAGGTCAACCTGGAAGTCTGCATCACCTTGATTGAAAATAACAAGTGGGCATGCTGTATTTTATGTCATAGAATAAACCATGAAAGTATCTTGAGTTTGTGTTAAACACAAACATTATATCAGGCATTTAACCAAAACCTTTTTAAAAAAATCCATTGATTTCTGGACGGAAGTGCTGAGATGCATCTTGTTTCTGGGTATTGGCCTACAAAAATACATCATCCAACAGCTCTCTATAATCGTTCATGTTGACTTAAATTCATGTACAGTTCTGGCACTTCCAGCATTCCTGAAGCTACAGCTTCTAGATTCTGACCTGCATCACAAAGGAGCTCCAATCTCAAAATTGTATTTTGCATTAATGTTCTGCTCATGTCGTCCACCCTTGAAACCACCAGCAGCTGAGCTCGTTTAGATAGACTCTATTAGATGTTGAACCTCATAACATCAGGTTACCATCACTAGCTCACCTGGAGGCAAAGTTTTGCTTTGGATCAAAGTAACCAAGAGTGAGGACACTTCTCTGGACGCATCTTCAAGCTTGACGTCAACGACCTCAGTCCAACAATTCCCTTGAACCCTTTGATAACGGCGTTCTGGGGACATGTTTGGCTATCCAGGACTGGCCTCGGTTTACCACAGACATCTCCAGAGGTCTATGGTGAAAGCTCAAAGACAGTCCCTGCATAGCGCCACCTGGCCGTGAATGTAGTCTCTGCACGGGCAAAGCCGCTGGTGTTTGGCACTGACTCCTGCGCAACTGAATAGCAGCGGCTCCTTTTGCTGGAAACACTCTCTCCTGTCCACATGTACGGCTGGAAACACATGGTTCTTCTCCGCTTCTAAAGACTCACACTGAGCGTTAAGCCTGAAAAACACACATTCATGCTATTTATCTGTTTCAAAGAAACGCAGATGAGAAAAGGGGGGGGTGGAATGCCATACAGCACAGTGAAGAGAGAACAATGACTGCTCATTTTTATAGCGGTCTTGGTTTACGTAAATATTTTTTTCATTCATTTTCTTAATAGAGATTTAAGATGTGCCAGCTGTAAACCAAACCATTGTCACTTTGCATTATTGACACACTATTTTCCTAATTAATGCTGTACAGTTGCTTTGACACAATCTGTATTGTTAAAAATGCTATAAAAATAAAGGGGAATTGACTTGACTTGACTTTTGCCAAAATAAAAATAACAACACTGTAAGTAGAAAATTGAGCCCAAAGTTCCCCCCAAAATATCACTTTATTCAGGATAAATTCTCAGAAAAGCATGTTTAAGTCAAAAGAAAGACAATAAGAAACTGAAAATGAGGCCTATTTTTAGGACCATTAACAACTGTACTGTGACACTTTCTTGACAATTAATAATTAAAATGTCACTTTTGAGGGTTTCTTTTTAATTATAACAAAAACAAATACTGTATAGCAATGCAAGGCTTTAATACTAATCAGACATAAGTTTTAGTAATCTATAATTGTAACAACACAGAGAAAAGATATTGTTGGACTCACTATCAGAGCCTTTTATTTTTATTTTGATGAATGATAAAAACATTGACAGCCAATCAGAATCTACTGGACTTTATAAAGCTTGAGCATTTTAAGTGGCAGTTGACAAAACAGCAGTGCGCACTTATAATAAACCAAACATTATCATGCATTGGTGTGGACGCTAATATAGTTATCATTATCTTTATAATTATCTTTCTTGGTGTGAACGGGCTTATAGTCTGTTTACTTAACAAAAAAAAAATCTGTATCATATACTTTTATAGTGTCATGGCAATACATGCATCACATTTTTTATAAAAAATATTGCTTTTTAACCACTATTTAACAATTTTCCCTTTAATTAACTGTTTAATTAACTCTTAAAAATGAATACTCCCAAGTGTTTTCTTTACAAGAGACACAATAATGCCTGTAGTTCAAAGGAGCCATGTTAGTATGTTATTTTCAAGTTTGAGCTCAAAAAAGTGGGACTGAGTGTTAAAGGTGTTGAACAAAGCATCCAGGGTTGTTCAGGTTCTCAGAAGTGTGCGTTTCACTTTATCTGCTCACATCAAATCCCAGATTGCATCAGGACTCTGTCAGACAGACAAGACGTGCAAGTATCAAACTTAGTCTTATTAATTGATACATTAAGCATCATTTGCACCTTTTTACAAAGGCGTGTTTGAACTAAGAAACTGATGTTTCCTTCATGCTGTAGATCTGCTGAATATCACTTGGTACCATTGCTTCATGGTTTTATTTCTCTTCTTTTTACTGCCTAAGCTTTCACCCCTTTTCCTATGCCAACTGTGTGTGTGTGTGTGTGTGTGTGTGTGTGTGAGTGTATGTTAGACTAGTTTAAGTGTTTATGTAGTTAATAAAGTCTTACTTGTATCACACTTGACGTTGTTCATTGTTTGCTCATAACTGGAGTCCCTAATCATGCAGATTTATGCTACATGCTCTGAGTAGTATTGTACAGTAAGAAAGTTATTTTCCTTGACCAGGAAATTAACGTTCTTAGAATTAACAGACAGTTGACACTGAGAGGTCAAATTAATGCTTACAGCGGATCTAAATATTTATAATTAATTATAACTAGTTATGATTAATCATTCATATTTCCCCTTTGAGCTGATTCACTACATGGACTTGCACTGCTCCCAATGCATACACTATCTGTCCTAAACAGTATATAGCATAAATAGAAGTGTGTCCCGAATCACAGTAAAATAATAATATTAAAGGTTCCTGCATGACAGTATTGCCAGGATTGTGTTTCTCCCCC